ATGACATATGCAGTGATACTACCTTTTTATCTTGACACAATTGAATAGATGGAAAATGGAATCTCAATTTTTAGTTTTAACTCTCTCTTATTAGCGTGTGACTATGAAAAAATTATTTAAACTTCTCAGGGGTTAATTAATCCTTTCTTTGCAGGCTAAAGGAGGATACTGGAACAGAGTATCTCCAGAATTCCTACCAGCTTTCTCCATGATTTCACAATTACAGCTCAGGCTACAGTGGGCTTTTAGCATAGTGCTGCCATCCTGCGGTAGACATAGCTATAGTTTTGCATATTTAAGAGCAATATGAAGTGGAAGAGAATGAACAGAGCAAACTAATTGAAGACAGATGTGAAGTGAGAGAGACACTATCAGGTTAATTAAGGTTAGCCACAATGGAGTAATAAAATAAAATGCTAGCCAGCCATCTGGCAGCCAAAGAAATAAAAAAGATCAAAAAATAATTTAAAACAGATTGAATTGCTGTACAGAAGATTAAAGATATTTATCCACATGACCTCTCAATAACTGAGTTATAAATATGATCCAGTACTTTATGATTGAGTCCTCTAATGTACCCTCTCCGTAGGATTCATCTTATTCCATCATATATTTATATAATCCTTTCTTTTTTGGCTAGTATTTACTTCATAGCAAAATTAGGACTTTTAAATGAAAAGGTACATGGCAATAAAAGAGGTAACTCATAAGGCAAACCTTCCGGAAAATTTGTTTTTGTTAAATTAATTTTCAGTAAATATTTTTCATGTGTAATATGCATACACATAATACAAGCATAAATAAGTCCACGATTCCTGAAAGAACTGAAAGAACAAATTAGGCATAAAACCACTTAAAATTGTTCCTTTTGAAATCACTAAATTATGACAAATTCTTTTTAGCTTTAAAATATTATTTTCTTCAATAATATATAGAGAAATTACAATCTTTGTGAATCAAAGCTCGACAGGTAGAATCTGCTCACTGACTTAAGTATTTAATAGCACCCTCTAGTGGATGCCTGGGGTGTTAGTATATGGGTTCTTCATTCTCTAAATTTTTTAAAATACATAATATTCAGTGTCTATTTTAAGGAAGCTCTTGGTTTTTTGAGGTATTTTTCTTTTAATTTATGAAGCTATGCTCGCTAATGTTTTGGTGGGATTTTTTTTCAATCCAACTAGATTTTCTGCTTTGGATAACTTCGAGTTGAGTAACCATGTGTTTTTATATCATAAGACAAATTGTAAAAGCCACAGAAAAAAATTTGTATCCTATAAAGTTTCTCCAACAAAGAGTGTGCAAAATCATCCCATATCAGATGGGCCTTGAGGAGAGACATTATTTGTATCAAATGCCTACAACTGTATACAAAGAACTACTAAAATAATTTCATTTAGTTCTCTGTTTAACTGAGGGAACTGCTAAAATATTGTTAGTATTTATTCAGTAAATATTTCTCTTAGAAATGATTTAAGAGTAACTTTTTTTAAAAAAACCTTCCAAAGAGCAGGTACAGGCTCTACTTTATATAATAATATGCATATAACAACTATTATCAAAGCTGGAAAGTGATAATTACAAGACACATAGATCACATGCCATTACGATCTGGCCGAGTTGACTTCTGACTAGAAAGACTTAGACTCATGAAATGAATGATGGATAGGATGGATTTTATGAATAATTACATTTATATGTATACACATTTAAAACCATAACAAAGGCGCACAGAGGGAAGACATAGGGAACCAAAGACAGAAAATTATTTGAATGAACTTGGATATAATGTGAAGGAGAGTACTAGCTGATAAATTTGGAAAGAAATAAAGGACGACATAAAACTAAATAATTTGGCTGAAGTATTGATTTTTTATAAGACCTTTCCTTGGTAAAATTTTGTAAAATTCAAAAAAGTATTCATTAATAAGTTTGTATTAATGTTAAAAAATGTTTCTACGTTTATTTGTCAATAAGGTGTATTTATTTCATTATACTACAATTGATGTTGGTTTAATTGTTGGATATTTCATTGAAAAGATATTGGTAACTATAGTTTCTGAAAAGTTACCATTAAAAGTATTTTTAAGATACTTGTATTCTTAGCACTAGCTTATCAAAATTCTTGCATTTCTGTATGGTTTTTGCTTATGATATAGTCTGATAACCATGGGAATGTCTATTATGCATTTTGATCTAACTCATTTTCAGAAACTAAATTTCAGACTATCTCTACACTGCACTTTTATGCTCAGTTAAGAGTAAAAAATCAAATTGAACACCCAGATGCTTTGTTAAGATAGCACTACAATCTGGATTAATTTACACAATTCACTTAGTTTCTGAATACCCGGAAATTCTATATCCTCATTATTAGATGTAAATATGTTTTATAAATAATTTAGATAAATTTATTCTAGTTAAATATACAAGTATCATCCTTTGTTTTTCTTTCATTTCTACTTGCCTACATTTTAATTATCAACTATCCTGCCACAAGCTCCCCAGAGATAGGGTGAAAGACAAAATGAGAAAGAATTTTAAAAAGTCTTTTTCTAGACTTATTTCTAGCCTTATCTCTCTCTTCTTGTTATGCCATGTTACATCCTGTTCAGATTTCTCAAATTGCTCAGAAAAATAATAGGACTGAAAACTGCATCAGGTAAAACCAAAGTTGGCCAAAGACTAAATATTTTGAAAGGTAAATAGTGAGCTATTACCTCTATAATGGAGTCATTCGGATGCATTGTGAGATCTCTGGGATGAAAATTGTTTTGATTCAGTAAGAATAAATTGACAAAATATTAAATGTCAATTAATTAAGAATGATCTTTGAAAATAGTATATCACGATTTCTCTGTTAATAAATACTTTTCAATGCCATATGAAAAATAGTCATTCTCTAGCTGGTTTGATTATTTAGTATATATTAAAAGTATTTCAGGTTTTCTTTATAATTCATTGATTAATCTGACATATTATGTTGCTGATGGTGAAGCTTTAGTTCCTTTACCTATCTTATAAGTTCTGTATCCAAATCTTATTACCTTTAATGCTTTTGTAAATTATCTTTCTAAAAGTCTTATCTCTGCTTTAACAGTAATTTATATTTATCTGGTTTTTCTACATATAAACTAAAGCAAATATTAAACAATTATTGTGATTATCTTCCCACAAGCTCTTGGTAATTGAATTTTTAACAATATTCAAATGTGTTCCCAATTTAGAGCTAGCTGAAATATGTCTAATCACTAAATTTTTCATTCTTTACTCTAGAAAAAATTCTATTCCTGTAATTAGAATAGATATTGTTAAAATTATTGATGATTTTTGAAAATATAGTCATGCTACAATGAAAGAAGTGAAGAAATTGGGAAAACCTAAATATTTACCCTGCAGTTACAGACTAGGGGACGAGCCTGGCTAAATCTAATGGTGGCTTTTTGGCCTTCAAGTTGTTTGCCTCACAGTGTTTGCGTTTTACATTTCATTCTAGTAGAGGGGCTGAAATTTCACCACAATCAGAGTCATTATATTTTTATAATATTCTTTTAAAAGACCTCTCTTTCTTACTTTAGGATCAAAAAAAATGATCAGAAATTTCACTCAGTTACATGAATTTGCCCAGCTACCTAAGAAACTCGTAAGAAACAGAGATTTAATTATAGAGGAAAGTATGTGTAGGTTTTAGAAGATAACAAAAAAGAATTTTTGGTCAGACCCATTCCAAAGAAATCTGGCTCTGGGAACTGTTATGTCAGTAAAGTCCTGCGGGAAAGTTGGGGATATGACAAATAAAATCAGAAGAGAACGAAGAACAAGTCAATTGTTGTGAGGTGCTATCCAATCTTCCCCAAGGCACAACAACCCTGTGCACGATAGGATGAAACCCTGGTACTTTGTGTGTGATCTTCACAATCATTGTTGGGCTTAGACCTGTTGTTAAAGTCACGGCGTCAACGCATCTCCACGGCCCCCCTCAGTAGGAAGGTCTCATCTTCCTCCTTGGAAACCAAAGTCCCATCAGGCAGACATTCTTGACCACATTTTCTTTTTCCAAATGAGAAACCTGTGACACCTTAGAATTCCGGTGATCTTGATTAAGAATAATTAGATCAATATGACCTAAATTCATGCTCTTAATTTCTTACCATGTGGCTGAAGACAAACATCAACAATTTCAAAAATCTACCTAAGGGAGGCTTCTTTATTTCAAACACAAAGAAACACAGTTGCCTTTTTTCTCTTCTTTTTGCCTTAAAAGTCTTCTCTAATGACTCATTCCCTAGCCTTAACAACGTCAATACTAATCTGTAATGGATCTTTTATTGCATGTAGCTGAACTTTAATATATCTATGAGAATATGCATTCTAATATCCAAAACTGAAATTTTTGAAACCAGCCCAGTCGTAAATTAGAAAATCCCCTAAAGAAAAACAAGTATCTCCAACCTTTAAAATGGTACTGGAGAGGGTTTCTCGAGTTACATGCAAACAAGCATAAAAGTTTCAGTTATTTCTTCAAACCATCTTTTGTATTTACGTCTTCAGTTCTCAGGAGTATAACAAATGATGAATGTAGAAAACAATGGAACCATTTTCTCTCTATCCTGTTATGTCAATCTACTATCTTTCTAAACTTATTTCTCCATGAAATAACCCAAATACCTGTTTGCCATATCACTGTTGTAATTCTGTACGAATAAACCACTACAACAATCTTAATACTACTAATAGACCAGTTAGGTACTTAATCTAAAACTAAATGGCTTTTCAGGAAAGTTTGTCTTATGAACAATGAGAAGAAAGTGGCATAAATGCTATTATAGTTCACTCTGGGTTAAGGACATGGACTTGCAAGGCTGGTTAAGAAATGTCGAGTTCTTGCGATGGCTTTATTCCTTTATATATGCATAGTAAGAAAACATATCGTTGTGCACGAAGGCCGAAATGCAGGCTCGTTTATTGACTGTGGTGTTGACTCTCCCTACACCATGCAGCAAAGCCTCCCACCCAGCGACCTGCAGAAAGCTCCGTGTCCACCGGCTCTTCGGGCAGCAGCCTTGGCAGTGGATATAGCGTGGATAGTGAAGGACGCAGCAGCGCTGCAGGCGACACTAATCTATTTCCTATTCCAAGGATGTAAGTTCTTCTTTCTTTTCCCCGTGCAAAATTAACATCATGAGAAAGGTCTTCTTAGCATTTAGCAGAAGATAACTAGATAATTATCCAGTTCTGAGTCATTGTCCTTGAAATACTTGAATTGTTCATGGCTATGTGAAAAATAGACTGGTCAGAAAATATTGGATTACTTTGGTTAATTCTAAAGATGAATGTTGGTCACTATCACCATTATTAAATCACTGTAATCTGTATTTAATAGAAAACTGCTGAAATAATAATTTAGCCATGCTTGACTCAGGTTCAGGGACTGTATAGCCACATTAATCAAGTAAGGACAAAAGTCAAACGTTATTAGTAAATGAGATTAATAGAATCAGTTTATGTCAGTCAGAGGAGATATATACTCAAAGAACATATATGTGGTGTTTACAATAAATTGGACCTTGAGTTATACATAATTTTAATCTATAATCTTTACAGTTAAAATTGAAGATGTTCAAGTGTTTCAGTCCTGTCTAGAAATAATTACATAACAGATTTTTCTTTCAGTAGATGCTACTTGAAAAAATTTCATTTGCTATTTGTTTTGGTGCCATTGAAACGAGGACTACTCACAGCGACCCCAAGTGGTAAAACAGAATTATCTCATGAGGTTTCCTACTGAGGAAAGCTTTATGGGACCAGCGTATCAGGTGGTCCTTTCTCAGAGTCACTAACCTTTTGGTTGCCACCAAGTGCTCTAAGCATTTTGTCACCAGGGAACCTCATGCATATCATGGAGAGAAATCACATTGCAAAGAGACAAAAAGAAAGCACATTGTGCTGAGAATGTCTTAGAAGAGATTTAGTTCATTGAGGAGCATCCAAGATAAATACGTACAAAATCTGATTTTCTCATTGATTTCTCTCCATTAAGACTTCTGGAAATTCAAATTCCATTGTTTGTCCCAGCTCCAAGATCTAGACCAAAGAGAATCTATCTTGCTAATATGTTAATCTAAGGCTTGTAAGAAAAAGAAGAAGAAGAAAAAAAAAAAGACTTAATTTTTAAGTGTTTGTGGAAAAAATTAAAAATGAATGCATTTTATGATTGTTGTTGTTGTGTACCATAAGGACGGAACAGACCCATAGCTGACCCTCCAGCTTTTACAGCATCGGAGGAGATTGTCCGTCCATCCTTCTCTTGCAGAGCAACCGGTGGCCTCCAACCACGTGTTTTCAGGATTGCAGCATAGCTTCTTGCCACTAGGCCACCAGAGCTCCCTGTATTTCATGATACATGATAATTATATGAAATTGACATTTTGGTGCCCATATTTAACATCTTATTGAGACCCCTCACTCATCCACTTCTAATTGAGAAATCACTACTTTTACACTACTATGTGGATTATCTAACAGCTTCACTCTCTAGCACTTTAAACTAAAAGTTTAACAACTCTTTATATGTGTCCTTGGTGCATATTCTTTCTCACCTTCTTCAGCAGAAAGCAAAGCTTTTGGAGGAGTGAAACTTCTATTCGTTCCTGTTTTAGTTGCCCCTTGTTCTATAAACAATGCCCTGGTGATCTAGTAAATGAGGAATTGTGCTGTCATCTCAAAGACAGGTGGTTCAAATCCACCAGCAGCTGTGTGAGAGCGATGGACAATATCCTCTTATGTAATTTGCAGCCTCTAAAAACACGTGAGAGGGTCAACTCTGGTGAACTCCAGTCAGTTCTGTCTCAATGGCAATGAGGTTTTTTGCATTTGTTTTTTATGATGCTTTCCTTTAATTCTTGGTATAGTCCTCATATTTAGATTATTTGTAAAAGCCAAATAATGAGGTAAGTAAGTTTAAAGGAAACACTATGTTTATTTTGTATATTTCCAGTTACATATTTTTCAATTTAAATTGTATAAATGTTTATCACAGGGTTTTCGGAGGCCTGCTATTTCAGAAGTGGATGGCCAATCCTTCTTCCTAGTCTGTCTTAATCTGAATGTTCAGATTAAGAGAAGTATCAGACAGACGAGCATTTTACAGACACATGAAAGATAAATCCCTTATTGTGGAGTGAACCATTCATATCAGTGTTGTCCCTGCCCTTGCCACACTTGTCTTTACTCACTTATTTCCCTGCTCCCCCATCCATCAGGATACCTATCCCTGAGGTTCTGTCTAACATACTTTGGACATGTTGTAAGGAGCGACCGGTCCTTGGAGAAGGACCTCATTCTTGGTAGGGTGGAGGGACAGCGCAGAAGGGGAAGGCCCTCTATGAGGTGGATTGACTCAGTGACTGGGGCAATTGGGATGGGTGTATCGGAGATGGTACAATTGACACAGGACAGAGCGGAGTTTAGGGCTGTTGTACACAGGGTCACTATGAGTCACAAGCAACTCGACGGCACATAACAACAAGAACAACAAATGTTTATCTCTGGGCCATCTTGGATTTGGAGTTTATTTTTAACTGAGTCAAGCATGGATCCAATATTTGTTTCTAATCTTATGTTTTCTTGGAAACGATTGCTGAAAGGAAGCAGATCTATCCTGATGATTCAACTCTACTTGACCAAAAATAATTTCACAAATTTATTAGGTTCTTCTCTCTAAGCTGTGAACATTGTAGTCACTTATTAAGCTGCACAGATAAGTTGATTTCCAATTTACAGTTAACCTTCAAAACATTTAATTGTGAACAAGACTACATTCATGAGGATATATAAGTTTGGTAGAGGATAATCCTATGAAACATTTATTTTCATTTGCTGCAAAAATATTCATGTACAGATGGTAGGGTGGGGCAAAGTTCATAACTTCTTAACCATAACCAAACTCTTGGAAGGAATGAGTTCCTGGATTTGAGGGTTTAAGAACATAATCTAAAGGGATGCCTAGGCTATTTAGCATAGTCTAATGCCATGGACTTCCAGGAGAACAAATACGCCTGTCCTGGAGAGGGTGAAACCAAACTGCTTCTTGGAGGCTAGGATTTTGAAGCTCCACCTCATATACTTTGAGAATGTGGCCAGAAGAGACCAGTCTTTGCAGAAGAATATCATTCTTGGCAGGGTGGAGGGACAGCAAGTGAGAGGAAGACCCAGGATGAGATGGTTTGACTCAGTGACTAAGAAATGGGTTTGCATCTGATGGAGACAGTGAGATTGGCTTGGGATAGTGCAGGCTTCAGAGCTATTGTACATAGGGTCACTATGAGTCACAGGCAACTCGATGGCACATGACAACAACAACTACAATCCACCAAGACAATATTTCATATCCTACATGTTAAGTAACAACTGAACTATTAATAACTTTTAAACAGTCATCCAAGGTGCAGACATTATCTTTTTTCCTTCTGGAGAAAAGAAGAACGAAGAAATTCCAAGATTCAGAAAACAATCATGGAAAAAAAGGACTGATGAACCACACCAATCACAATCTGAGACCAGGACTATACAATGCCTTTCCACCATTACCAATGGCTTTGATTGGAGTTACAGTAGATGCTGTTGGACAGAACGGGGGTGGGGATTTAAATAAAAATTAAAAGCCATGGAAAATATCAGCCCTAAAGAGAGGAATCCCCTCAACAAGAGGGATTGACATTGTGACTGCAACAATGTATTCAAGCGTGTCAAAAATAATGAAGATTGCATAGGATAGGATCACGCTCAAATCTGTTATTCAGAGCGTTGCTATGAACCATACTTAGCCTCACCTAACAACAACGATAGATGATAGATAGATAGATAGATTAGATAGATAGATAGATAGATAGATAGATAGATAGATAGATAGATAGTTATAGATAGACAGACAGACACTCAGAAACCCCCTAGGCAAAGTCCCTAGACTGGCTTTGAGCCAGAAATGGAATCACCCCTGGGAATCAGCTAGCAGTCAAATAATGGACTTTCAAGTGAGTAATAACATCATCAGGAGCATACTCCACTGAACAACGAACCACAGGGGACCTAAGGGCAGCATTTGCCCAAAAGCAAACCTCAGAAGGCAAGAATGTAAAGAAGGATGAACAGGCAAAGGGAAACAGGACAGGAAGTGAGAAGAGTCCTGTGACATGGAAGTTATTTAAACTAATATTAAAAAATGAAATGTCTATCACCTGTTAAATGAAAAAAACTAACTAGATCTGAAATATTCACACAAAAACGACAATTGGGAAGAAACCTCAAGTTTGATTATGGAAAAAATGGAGAAATAGTGGACATTAAAATAAAAGTTAGTGGAAATTTAGCAATTATAAGATTTACATCAAATGATGCTCAATTGATGAAACAAGTAAACAAAGGATATGTAAATCATCGGTATTTGTAACATTTTTAAATCCACATTTTCATTGTGAAGAAGCAAAGGGACAGGTTTTTATTGGCTAAAACTTACAACTGAAAATTTAAAAAATAATTTCATTTTTACAGAAATTTTAGTATTCTCCAAAAAAAATTCAACACATTAGACTCCAGTACAAGTTTCATCTTTGACATAAAGTTAAGGTTAGATGTTGTTTATATCCCTTATTAAGGAAAAAATTAATTTTGTGTGACTTAAATCTTCTGACATGTAATTAAAATTATTGCAAGTTATCCCACTTGTAATTTATAGACATGCTAGATCTCTTATAACTATACCAGAAAGATTGATGAAATTCATGACTGTTCTTCTATAAGAATGGGTGAGATCAGACATAGTAATTCTGTTTTTAGAGTTGATAATTTATGGATTTACAAGGCTGTGGGGGGGAAAAGACCACATTCAAATTCTTGGTACTTCTCATTGGGGTTACTATAATATTAAACAGTGAATAAATGTTTAAAAACAAATAAATTATGTTCACTCCCCAAAATAAAACAGATAAACCAAAAATCCACTGCCATTGAGTCAATTCTGACTATGGCCAACCCTCCCTCAGCTTTCCACGATTGTAAATCTTGATGGAAAAGGACTGCTCAGCATTTTCCCAAGGAACAGCTGGTGGATTTGAACCACTGACCTTTGGGTTAACAGCACAGCACATTGTACACTATACTTACCTTTTAGTTAAGAGAACAACACACTTTGTCACACATGCATATATATAATTTAATAGTGATGGGGAAAAAATCATCATTTCCATAGAGTAAACTATGTTATTTCTTCAATATTCAAGGTGGAAGTAGACTATGAAGTTTTTACATGTACTTCAAATTTCATTTTCTCCCATTATCCTGTTTTCTCAGAACTCTCTAGGATATTACATTTTTTCCTATGAGAAATTTTTTTCCTGAAATTTATGGCTAGACTAATGTAAATATCCAATACATATTTCTTGATTGAATAAGAGACATGGATTATAAAATTTGAAGTTAAAAAGGCCAGAGTTGAGGATTGTTTTTGAGAATTAAGAAAAATTAATTCTCCAACACTGCCCTAAACAGTTTTGTTTCTTTTCTATTTCACTTACCTTCACAATGTTGCCAAACTTTCTGTCAATATAATTATGTGTTGGACACACTTTTCTGGTTATGGACCTAAAGTAAAAAATAATATCCATTAGAAGCAAAGATAATATCAAATGCTATCAAAATAAAAATGAAATACTCAAGAAAAAAACTGATCAAAAGTTATTTTCATTCTAAATTAACTAAAATTTAGTTTAAAAAATGTTGTTATGTCCTGAAAAGGATTTTTTTTTCTGGTTCTACATTGCTTCCGTGGTCATGTGGTATGTTTACTAAATTCATCTTCACTTTTAACTGCATAAACTGCAGGTATAAAGTATTATTTAGCTCATTCTACCACCATATTTTTTAAAGTGGGGTACCATCAAATTGATGCATAGTAACCCAATATGACAGAGTAGATCTACCAATAGGATATCCTTGACTTTAATATACAGAAGTACATGCTCATGGATTTCTCCCATGGAGCTGTTGAGTGGATTCAAACAGCCAACTTTTCCATTTACAGCTAGACAGTTAATCCTTTGCACCACCAGGGCTGCGGCTAAGTTATTAAGCTTTTCTTCTTCTCGAACAGTAAGAAGCAGTTCTTTGTTTAGTCATTGTTGTTGTTGTTAAGTGCCGTCAAGTCGTAGAGAACTCATTGTGACCCTATGAACAAAAGACCTGAAAACTTGTCTAACTCTCATTAATTTCTCCAAGTTCATAGAGTTTCCGGAGGAAAGCTATAATGGGTTATTATGTGTCAATTTATTTCATGAGGACCATCAGTTTCTTATAGAAAGATTGAAAACTGTAGGTATTGTGTATTTCTTAAACAATAAGTGAGGTTGTATGTATTTCTTAAATACTCTTCCTGTATACTTCCAGATGAAAGTCTATATAGATGATAGTTAGGTAGATAGATAGATAGATAGATAGATAGATAGATAGATAGATAGATTCTAATCTATGCTTATACTTGTCCCTCACATAATCATGCAATGAAAATTTGCACTTAAACCGTAGATCTAGAATTCTCAGAACAATGTAATAAAATGACTTTTCAAAAGAATAATTTCTATGGAGTAGGATGATAACAGGACATTTAGAGAACACTTCAAGTATGATATAATTGAATTCTAAGGAAAAAACCAAAACAAAACCAGAGATATTGTTATCAGGGCCAACAAAACAACTACTTTTTGTGAGAGTAAAGAATTATTGTCAGTAAATCCTGCTCTATTAGAATTATTGTCTGGAAAGCATTATTAGCAAGATTTATTTAAGAACTATTTTTAACACCTAAGAACTTCCACCTTTTTAGAACATCTTCTGTAGATGCACAGGAAAGTGACTGCACAATCTTTTGCATGTAATGTAGCTTTTTCTCTGACTGAAGAAGTAACAACCAACCTGCAGTCACTTGATTGTTCATTATTAAGATTCTAAACTCAAAATGATCAGTTATCTTGTGTTCTAGCACATGAGTTATAGACAAGAATAAAGATAAGGAAGGGGATATGATTAGAGAAGCTATAAAAGAAAAAAACTTGACCAACTTAAGTTATAAACAACATGAAATAGCAAAACCAGACATGGAGCCAAAGAAGTCTAACTTCAAAAGCCAATTTGCTAGGCACTCCTAAAGGCAGAAAATTTATCTAAAAGTTACAAGTTTTAAAAGAACTCACCAAAACCTGTATATGCATTTGTATTGTCATTTACTTATTAACCAACATTCCCTTTCTTGCCAAAGAATTTATGAAAATTCATCATTGTAAACTGTCAAGATATAGAAACCCCTTCTCCCTTCTCTAGTCAAAAAAGGAAAAATATAAAATAATTTCCCAGTTTTAAATTTAAATGATTATCTGGCATTTAATAAGTGAATTAACAAAGATTGATTAAATTTTGAGTTATTATATTTGTATTAAGAGGAGTTTTTATGGCCTAATGGTAAGGAGCTGTGCTGCCAACCTAAAGACAGACATGCAGTTAGAATTCACTATCTGCTCCACAGGAGACAAATAGACCATGTCCTGTGCAGTCTGAAAACCCACTGGAGGGTCTGCTATGAGTCAATTCTGACTCAACAGTACACAACAACAACAGCAACAGTGTATTTGCATAAATAATAATAATAAATTTTTTGTTTTAAAATCAATATGATACATTTGTTGTGTATGTATTTTCTTTTCAAATGCTTTGATTCTGAATATGAGATTTTATTTTGGGGTTTTTTTGGTGATTGACTTGCTCACTTGCATGCAGGTGGTCTTACCTGAATAAATATACAAACTCTTATTTTCTTTTAACAGAGGAAAGATGGGTCAGAATGGGCAAGAGCCTGTAAAACAGCCGGGAGTGGGAGTAGGACTAACAGATGCTGAAGGTAAGTTATAATCTACAGTAATGAGTTATGTTTGAATCTACTAACTACATTATCAGTGTTTGGTTTGATTTGTTTTCTTTTAATATAAATGTAAATTTCTAAGGATTCTGGAAAAAGTAGTAAATCATTGTTATCTAGTAAATGAGAATGGCTTTCTAATTCCATTTAATGATATTTCCTATTTCCTCATTCATCTTCGAAACAAGTTCTTTGGGAAACTGCAAATGTAAAAGACGAAGCAGAGTGACAGGAAAGAATCTCAAAAGACTTTCTCAAAATAAAAATAGCTTTATGAAATGTTTTTCTTTATTAAGAATATTTAAAGAGAAAACTATATGTGTAATTTAAGTCATTGAGAATTCTTTAATATAGGAAGCTGAAAATATACCTGTAGAAGCCATTTTAGAGATAAATTCATTTCTGAACTGATATCTAAATTAAAAACTAAATTGAAGTTAAATTTTGTAATAGTAAACCTGTAGCATATATAAAATACAGAAGAAAATCACTTTAGCATCTGTTAACATAAAGATTAGCTTGAAGATTCACAATGACTAGGTTAAAAAGCTGGTTAAACCTTTATGACCTGCATCATCTTCTTACCCATTTTAATTGCTCTAAGAGGCAAAGGTAATGAAACTCTGTCTTTAATACGTTAAATGTGTTACTAGGAGAGGTTATTCCTTAGTAAAGATGGAGGATCAGCAAAAGAGAGGAAGACCCCAACAAGACAGAGTGACACAATGACTGCAGTAAGGGGCTCAAACGTTTCAGAGGTGATGAGGATGGCACAGGACAGGCAAGGACAGGACAGGGCTCAGGTCCGTCGTTCACCAGGAGTAGACACAACCACACCTAACAATAAGTACTTTACATGACTCAAACTATATTATTAAAATAATAATTTACTAAGTTTTAGTAAAATGTCTTTTTGCTAGTGTTACGTAGAAGATAACTAAAATGTAAGCATCAGTCAAGGTCAAAGCAAGTGATATGAACACATGAAAATAAATAATATTAAACAGAATATATACAGATGCAACATCACAAGGGCACAAAATGGGTTTCCACTCTAATCCTGGTACAAATGTAACTTGCTCTATCTTCAGAAATCTTCTCACAAATGTTTTGTGTAAGCACTCAGGTGGCCTACTGGTGAGAAAGTGTGCTGCAATCCCAAAGCCATGCTCTGTGTGTGTGTGTACGTGTGTGTGTGTGTTTTATTATTTTTTTTACAATTTTATTGTGCTTTAATATATGACATGTCACATGCACTTTCTGCTTAGAACATTTATAATTATTTTGACTTTGTTTAAACATAATAATTTTTATAAATGTTCCATTGGCTTGGTTGGGGGTTTTTTTTAATTTTTTTATTGTTATTATTAATTTCAATGAACATCTGCAGTTTGAATCCAGCATAGATGAGAAGGATTGGCCATCTCCTCTTGAGAATTAACCACCTCTGAAAACCTTCTAGAGGGTCAGATATCAGTCAGTTCCAACTCAAAGGCACACAAGCACAATATATCTTTATGACTATTTTTAGATGTAAATATATATCACATTTTTCTTTGCTCTATCACTGTGTTCCCCAGTGGGCCTTCCTCAAAAATCTCTCGCTATATTTTGATGAGTCCCAAATCTACAGTCCAAATTCTTGGAATTTCACTTATGTAATTAACATCTTACAGGTATCTGTCCATCCAGAAAAGGAAAATATTTATATTTCATAAAGAGGAAATTTAAGGTCATAAATTGACACCAAGTCAGGAACTTGCAAAAGGCAGCAGAGGATAGAAAGGCAGGAAAAGAAAGTTTCTACAGTAGCTAGTGAAGAAGTGTCTGTAAATTGGAGTCAAGGGAGAGCAGAGACCCGTGCAAACCTCTACTCCTAGAAGCAAAAAACAAGAAAGAAGCACAACAAATGTCATAATTAGATCATGAGAAACAAAACCATGGGAGAAACCCCTCAGGGTTTTTTTTCTTTGCTATTCCTCAACTTCACGCCCTTCCTTTATCAAACTCAGCTGCAAGCCAGCTGGTAGGAGAGTCTGGTAAATATAGGTTAAGGGCAGCTATTCTCAAAGATCAAGCAAAAGCTGAAGCAGACATCTGACAGCATACAGCCTATGGCAAGTACAGTATTTTAGTGTTCACACATGCACATTGAACTGTTCTTTCTTGAAACTTTATTCATTCACTCTCTTCTCCATTTTGTATCCTTCTACTATACTCATCTATATTTTCATAAAGACTGTGTATATTGTTACTATTGCTCCTTGAAATGAATGGATCTATTTTTTTTTTCTTCTTCTTTTTTTTTTTTTGTCTGTACCGTCAAATCAGATCTGACGGTACAGGAGGAGATTGTCCCTCCTTTCCTGGCAGAGCATCTGGTGGATTCAAACCATGCACCTCTGGGATTATAGTGTAGCTTCTTGCCACTAGGCCACCCACCAGAGCTCCCCTGAATCGATCTATTTTTATGCGGAGGTCATCTATAAGACTCAATAGGACAGAATTACACTTTTATTCATCTTGGTGTCTCAGCATTTAGCAGAAAACTTTGCCCTAGAGTTATTTAATGCATTTTTTCTTTAAAAAAATAAAGAATAATTGTTGAGATAAAGAATACACAGCATGACAATATATTAAACCCATTGTTTTTATATGATTCTGAAATACAGATATAGATCAAAGACATAACTGGTGTTTTATTCCCACTAAAAGTTTAGCAATTCACTTGGACTTTCTTTGAATCCTAAAGTTTACAAATAAAGTCATTTTCACACAAATGTTGACAGCTAACAATAGCTATTGTTACCTCTAAAGCAATTGCTTTCTTCCTGTCAGTCCCACACAAATCATGCTTGTTTTCTAAAATGGAGCAATCATAAGCTAACTTTTCGTTTACATCTACCGATCCAGGGGTTTCTACTTTAGTAAAATGACACTGAGAAACAGGTGATCTCAGATTGGCTATTAAGACTAGGGGTAAATTTGAGGATGAGAACAAGATGAAATCCATAATGTGAGTCATTTATACTTATATGCCTTTTGGTAGTAATATTTGAGTAAGTTTTTGACAGAGTTATTAGTGATATATTGACTATGACTAAATTTATAATTTATGCATTTATAGAATCTTATATATAAGTAGCTCCATAGTAGTTATATAAGAAAGAGCTAATAATATGGGTAAGAAACTACAGAATGTTAAAATTCTGGAGGAAGTTTGTAAGGAAGATTATATTAACAGAGTGCAGGAAGAAAATGATTTAATTGTACTGTATATTTTTGTTCTAGGAAAACTTTATTTTAAATGCAATATTTTGCCCTCATGGTTATATAGAAATAATTCTGTGTTATACTTGATATATTTGTAGTTTTTATTTTGTTTGTTTTACTTGTATAATCTAAAGAACTGCCATCACTTCCTTTTGTTGTCATTTCATATAAATAACAAATTCAATGGGAGAAAAATAACAGTAACATCTATTTCAAAAGGAGGTAAATGAAATTTGGTTTTGGACATAATATATAGTTCCTGATTAGATTACTCTTCTACATTTCTTCCAGGGAACCATGAAAAAGTGTCTTTTCATAGAAAAAGCTCTTTTTAAATAAATCTCATTTCATTTTGAGTCTTTCATATTATTTATTTAAGTACTTTGATTTAGGAACTACTTAATCTACTCTAAGGAAAAATTATTAGAAATATGTGCTCTACTTTAAATCAAAAGTCTGTCATAATTTTAAATTATGACCTTTGTACATTTTGTTCAGATAAAACTTTTACTTTTTTTTGTCTCTGTAGTATACATAATACATAAATTTATGTTGCATGAGGTTAAGCTATCATATTGAGCATGCTGAGATTTTTTTAAATGTTAAAAAAGCATTTCCTTGTTCTCCTTATTGAACAAATACATTTATTTGACTTCTGCATTTTTAAAATGTGACCTTTTTATCATTATAGAGATAACACATAAATTTAAATCCCAGCATTTGATTAATTCAGTGGCTCAAAATTGAGATCAAAAGTTCTAGGATTCTCATCTAGACTTTAATTGAATATGATAAGTCTTCTTATTATCCCTACAAATAAAATACTGATTTTCAATACTTTAAATAAGTTCACAGGAAAAGGTGGAAATAACCATTGTATTTGGCACATGTTTAATGCTCTCAGCAGCGGTCACGAAATCAAAAGCAGGTTGCATTGGAAAATCTGCCATCTCCAAAGTGCTAAAGATCAACAATGCCAGTTTAAGTATAAGATGCACCTGATCCAAGCCATGGTATTCTCAATGGCTTCCTATGCATCTGAAAGTTGCATAAGGATGGGAGGGAAAACACTCCAAAGCTTTTAAATTGTGGTGCTGGTTAAGAATGCTGAATCTACTCTAGACCGGCGAAAGAACAAACGAGTCCCTCTTGGAAGAAGTACATCCAGGGCACCCCTGAGATGAAAGTAGGATGAAACTTCATCTCAACAAACTTTGAATATATTGGCAAAAAGGGCTGATTCTGAGTAAAAGGCATCAAAAGTGGAAATATAGAGAGCTACAGAATGAAAGTATGACCCTGAGTTATATGAATTGACCCAGTGACAGTAAAAATTGGCTAGAGATCATGAGAATGGTGTCAGACAGGGCATGGTTAAGATCGGTTGCTCATAGATCACTATTCATAGTAGTCAACTAAAGGGCACCTAATAATATCAACATTATGAAATTAGAAATGAGTATAGGCAGAACCTTTTTATATTGCATCTAAATGTGTATAATTAGGCAAGATTAATAAAATATGAACTTGTTAGGAGAGTTATACAAGATACATTTTTTTAAAATATTTCATTTAAACAATTTGGCTTAATTGTATATAATAACTTCCAATGGCACTATCAAGAGATACTGTTGTTGATATTGTAGAGTCAGAACTAACCCACAGCTGACTGTCTAGCAGGATTTCAGAGGTGATAAATTGTAGAATCC